GCCTTATGCACGTAGCCTGAAAGTAATTTAATACAATATTTAAAATAATTTTGTGCATGAAACAAAGTTCGTGTACATTGAACCACCCATGTAGGCCCTCTGTAGTTGTTTGGCATCATTATCATTCCTGACTCTGAATTTATATGCTACTGATAAGCAATCATTTTCTTATAATTATTCACACATAGTACTTAACAGTAAAATATTTTGTTAATCATTAGTACAGTGAAGAAATAATGTGTTTAGGTCAACTGAGCAGCACAGCAGCATCACCACAATACCTGTATCAGCTGTTAAACAACAGTAACAGCAAACAATGGCAGGGTTTCAGTCTCTAGATACGGTGCTGTGTTTTGATTAAGGTTATGTAGACCGTATTTTGTATTTTAGGTAAGAAGAAATGTCAGAAGCAGTTGAAGGACCAGAAAGTGGGTCCCCTAGGGATGAGGAGTCAATCTGCTGGATGGATTTTAAAACTCTGTCCTCTAGAGTCATCTGCTTCATTAACAATGGTTTTTGTCTGAGAAGGCGCTGTTTGATTTCATAAGCTGACATGGTTTCTTGTTCTCTTATACATGCATGCTGCTCTAGTGCTTAAAAAAGCCCATCACAGATTTTCACCATGTCAACTATAGACACTTTTCCTGCTGAGTTAACATCATCTTTATCATCCACTTGTGGCATCATTTTGGTGCTCAAAAAGTTTCAGATTTTGGAGCATTTTGGATTTCAAATTTTTGGATTAGAGATGTACAACTTATACAAATAAGAGCACATTGACAGGTTGTGTGTGTGCATGATTTTTGGGAGACACTATTCAGCCCGCTATAGTCAATGACTAAAGGAGCCTAATATGTAATAGTCTGAGAGGTAGCAGGAAAACCAGAAATTTACAGTGAGAAAGACAGTGAAGGAAGGGAATGTTTCGAGAAAGACTGAAGGGCTCCTAAGAGGATAAACTTATATCTTTTATCTCAGAACTCCAGGATCATAGATTCAATTATCACTAACCAATAAGAGTAACACTCAATTGCTTTAATACTGTTTTGGGTTCTTATGCCAGCCCATGTCTCATCAAGGAGTAATCATGAGATGTGTCTTAGTGTCTTAGTTCATTTAGTGTTGCTATAGCTGAACACTCGAGGGCGGGTACTTTATAAAGAAAATAGGTTGATTTGACTCATGATTCTGAAGGTCAGAAAGTATAAGAGCATGATACTTGCATCTGCTCAACTTCTGGGGAGGGCCATGTGTTGTGTCAAGACATGGCAGAGAAGTGGAATGCTGAGGGGACATATGCAAAGAGACAAACACTAAAGGCTGGGCTTACTTCATAATACTTGTTCTTGCATTAACTTATCCAGTCCTGTGAGAGTGAAAACTTACTCCCATAAGATTGCATGAATCAATTCATGAGGGATCTGCCTCCATGACCAAAGACCTCCTATTATGCTCCACCTCCCAATGCTTCTACACTGGTAATTAAACTTCAACATGAGTTTTTGTGGTGACAAACAAAATCCAAACCAGAGCACATAGTAACTTGAAAAAAATTGCTATTCATAAATGGCATCTACCTCAGAAATAATTCTTTGAGTTAGGGTGGACAGCTTTGCCTTGTGGCCAATATATCCCTGTTGAGGTATGTATATTGGAGATCTCAGTCATTAATTTGGGTGCAGTTTGGAGTGTAGAAGAGAAACACAAAAATAACCACTGGGTTCTGATACAGACAGAAATGTACTGAGGTCCGTAGAGTAATCATCATAATAGAACTGCCAGTCAAAGCTTGAGAGATGGCAGATATTACCTGTCATGAAATGGGTAGGCAACTCTAGAACTTTATAATTAAATAGAAGTAGTATCATCTTAGAGAACTGTTCAGAATCAACACCCTTGTGTGTTGAGTCTATGGGTATGGTCTTTGGAAAGAGTCATAATGTATCTTTAGACTGAAGACCATAGGATGACTCTGTGGAATGTGGTCCTTGTCATTTAGGATGCTGGCTGCTCAGCTGTTAAATAGCTAATGTTCATTTGATATAATGCCATTCTTCTATTACATGCATCGTATGTTAGGATACTTGTTTATATTATATGTATTTTAAATCTTCTCAATCTATTCCTCATTTCTTTTAACATCTTTCGTATTTTATTACTTTCACTGTGCTGTGTGCATGTGGATTTTGTAGTTATAGTTTTAAAGTATTAATTTTTTAATTCAATTATTTGTAGTTGCTTGCACATTTTTCTCAGTCGTTTTTTCCTTTTTTTGAGAACAGGGTCTCAGTGTGTCACCCAGGCTGGAGTGCAGTGATATAAGTATGACTCACTGCAGCCTTGACTTCCTGGGCTCCAGTAATCCTCCTATCTCAGTCTCCCGAGTAGCTGGGACCACTGGTGCACACCACCATTCCTGACTAATTTTTGTAGCTTTTGTAGAGACAGGGTTTTGCCATATTGGCCAGGCTGGTCTTGAACTCCTGAGCTCAAGCAATCTGCACACCTCAGCCTTCCAAAGTACTGGGATTGTGGGGATGAGCCACTGTGCCCAGCCGGGTTTTAAATATCAGTGAAAATATTTTTTATTTCTAGGATTCTGATTAATTCTTTTCCATCTTTGTGATTCTTTCTCATATTCATCTGCTTTATTTAGATTTTGAAAAGTGGGTATCATTTTCACCACTAGTTCTTTCAGGTCTTAAATAAACTTGTTTTTAGGTCTTTCTCATATTGCTTTCTTATTTTCGTCTTCATGAGAGTGAATTCCCATCTGTTGAGCTTCCCTTGGCCTATATTTCATAGTGTCTGCTTTCCCCATGTCTTTGACATTTTGCATGAGTAGTTTGGTGTTTTCTCTCCTAGTACTCTCTCCTTTCTTCTGGCAGTATTCATTGCTTCCTCCAAAACTCCAAGAGAGGTAGAATCAGCTCTACTATAAAGGTTTGTGGCCCTTGTTCACAGGATGTCACAGATGGGCTCCCATAGCCTTGGGCAGCTCCACCTCTGTGACTTTGAATGGGGATAGCCCCCCTTCTGGCTGCTTTCACAGGCTGGTGTTGGGCATCTGTGGCTTTTCCAGGTGCTGGTGTTGAGTGTCTGCTTTCACAGGCTGGTGTTGAGGGTTTGCGGCTTTTCCAGGTGCACAGTGCAAGTTGTCAGTGGATCTACCATTCTGGGGTCTGGAGGATGGTGGCCCTCTTCTTACCGCTCCAGTAGGAAATGTCCCACTGAGGGCTCTGTGTGGGGGCTCCAACCCCACATTTCCCTTCTATACTGCCCTACTTGGGGTTCTCCATGAGTCACCCCACCTCCACAGCAAATTTCTGCCTGGACATTGAGTCGTTTCCATACATCCTCTGAAATCTAGGCAGATGTTCCCAAACCTCAATTCTTGACTTCTTTGCACCCTCAGGCTCAACACCACATAGAAGCTTCCAAGTCTTGGGGCTTGCAGCCTCTGAAGCCATGGCCCAAGCTGTACTTTGGTCCCTTTTAGCCACAGCTGGAGCTGGGACACAAGGGCGCCAAGTCCTTAGGCTGCAAACAGCAGTCCTTTCCCCGGACCTGGCCTGTGAAACCATTTTTTCCAACTAGGCCTCCAGGCCTGTGATGGGATGGGCTTCCATGAAGGTCTCTGGCATGCCCTGGAGACATTTTCCCCATTGTTTTGGTGATTAACACTCAGCTCCTTGTTACTTAGGCCAATTTATGCAGAGGCTTGAATTTCTCCCCAGCAAATGGGTTTTTCTTTTCTATCACATGGTCAGCTGTAAGTTTTCCAAACTTTTATTCTCTGCTTCCTCTTGAACACTTTTCTGCTTAAAAATTTCTTCCACCAGATACCCTAAATCATGTCTCCGAAGTTCAAAGCTCCACAGATCTCTAGGACAGGAGCAAAATGCCTCCAGTCTTTGCTAAAGCATAACAAGTGTCACCTTTGCTTCAGTTCCCAACAAGTTCCTCATCCCCATCTGAGACCACCTCAGCCTGGACTTTTTTGTTCATATCACTATCAGCATTTTGGTCAAAACCATTCAACAAGTCTCCAGGAAGTCCCAAACTTTCCTACATCTTCCTGTCTTCTGAGTCCTCTGAGTCTCTAGGAAGTTCTGAACTTTCCTACATTTTCCTGTCTTCTTCTGAGTCCTCCAAACTGTTCCAACTCCTGCTTGTTACCCAGTTCCAAAGTCACTTCCATATTTTTGGGTATCTTAAAAGAAATACCCCACTCTACCAGTACCAATGTACTGTATTAATCCATTTTCATACAGCTATGAAGACACACCCAAGCTGGGTAATTTATAAAGAAAAAGAGGTTTAATGGATTGACAGTTCCACATGGCTGAGGAGCCTTCACAATCATGGCAGAAGGGGAAGGAGGAGCAAAGGCACATCTTATATGGTGGCAGGCAAGAGAGTGTGTGCAGCAGAACTGCCCTTTATAAAATTATCAGATCTTAAGAGACTTATTCACTATCACCAGAACAGCATGGGAAAACCTGCCCCCATGATTGAATTACCTCCCACATTGTCCCTCCCTTGACATGTGGGGATTATGAGAGCTACAATTCAAGATGAGATTTGGGTGGGGACACAGCGAAACCATATCAGTCCCATTCCCTTACTGGAGTTGAAATACCAGAATTCATCCAAAAGATTTTAGATAAAGACAAACAGTTGGGGGGAGGAAAAAAAAAAAGAAGAAGAAGACATAGTAACAGTGCTGTGCTGAGTATATCGAAGTTGGGGCAAAATAAAACATCCTCACTCCTGATCTCTTTGTATTTACATGGTTGATATTTATTCATCTTGGAATTCCTGCTTCAATTTTTACATTTTAAATATTCTATAGAAATTCATTCATTCTGATAACTGGGATTTTGGTGCCTTTTCTAATTTCGTGCTGGAGGCTCCTTGCCTCCTTAGTCTCGTCTCGTCCAGGTTCTTCCTTCCTGTTCACAAGTGACCAATCTCTTTGTTTTCTTTTCTAGGCTTGGATTATTCTCAATGGCTATCAAGGCCACCATGTGGAGCAGTGCTTCCTGGACTTGGTTTCTTCTTGGCATCTAGACCCTGCCCAGTGCTACAGGATCATCTACTTCATCTCCTGGAGCTCCTGCTTCAACTGTGCCCAGGAAATTGCTGGATTTCTGAGGGAGAATAGACATGTGAGCTTGCACATCTTCACTGCCTGCATCTATGATTACCACCCAGGATATAAGGAGAGACTGCACATGCTGCAGGGAATTGGGGCCCAAATTTCCATCATGACCTCTACAGGTAAGAATGGAAACTTTGGGTGGGCTGGGGTGGGTGGGGGCAGGGAGAAGAAAGTTACTAGAAAGGTAGGGAAGGTCGGTATCCCTGGGCAAAAAGCCCTGGTTGGCTGCATGCAGAGGTTTATGAAATTGCTGTTCATAAATGGCATCCACCCAAAAACAATTCTTTGAGTTAGGGTGGAAAACCTATACTGAGGCTCAGAGCCCTATAGATATGCGTTTTCATATCCCAGACACCACTATGTAGTTCCATTCTGTTTCTGGTTTCATATAGATTTCTAAATTGTTTTTGAGCTCACGTTTGTCTTTTTATGTTTTAAAAATATTTAATGCCCTATTGTGTTTTGTGTTTGAAGTAAAGGGAGAAAAATAGATCAGCAAGTTTCTGCATAAAATTTGTTGTGGCAAATTGTTGCTCTTGGTACCTACTTCTACATGTGCATATATATATATACAGGCATACCTCATAGATATTATGAGTTTGGTTCCAGATCATTGCAATAAAGTGAGTATCTCAGTATAGTGAGTCATGAAAATATTTTGGTTTCCCAGTACACGTAAAAGTTATGTTTATATTATACTGTAGTTTACTAAGTGTGCAAAAGCATTGTGTCTGAAAATCAATATACATACCTTAATTTAAAAATATTTTACTGCTGAGTGGAGAGGTGGAGCAAGATGACCAAGTGAACCCTCCAGTGATTGTCCCCTCCTGCAAGAACACCAAAGTGAACAACTATGCCCACAAGAAATCACCTTCATAAGAACCAAAAATCAGAGGAGCAATCATAGTACCTGGTTTTAACATCATGTCAAGGAAAGAGGCACTAAAGAGAGTAGGAAATACAGTCTTGAATTACCTACACCACCCCTCCCCTTTCCCTCAGCAGTGGCTGTGTGGCATGGAGAGAGAGTTTGTGTGCTTGCAGGAGGGAGAGTGCAGTGATTGTGGGACTTTGTGTTGAAACTCAATGCTGCTCTGTCGTGGCAGAAAGCAACATAGGTAGAATTCAGCTGCTAAGTGCCCATGGAGGGACCATTTAGACCAGCCCTAGCCAGAGGGAAATTGTCCATGCCAATGGTCGGAAACTCAGTTCTGTTTAGCCCCACTCACCATGGGCTAAAGCACTCTGTAGTCCCAAATAAATTGGAAAGGCAGTCTAGACCACAAGGACTGCAATTCCTGAGCATTTTCCTGTTACTTATTACAGTGTTGGACTCAGAGCCACTCACAGGACTTGCCGTGTGTATGACCTAGTGAGACACCAGCTGGGGTGGCCAAAGGAATGCTAGTGTCACACTTTCCTGACTCCAGAACGCACAGCTTGCAACTCTAGGAGAGACTCCTTTTGCTTGAGGAAAGGAAAGGGAAGAGTAAAGAGGATTTTGTCTGGCAACTGGGATACCAGCCCAGCCACAGTAACATAAAACAACAAGCAGATCCCTGAAGTCTCCATTCCAGGACCTAGCTCCAGGATGACATTTCTAGACCCACCTTGGGCCAGAAAATAACCTGTTACCCTGAAGGAAAACACAAAGTCCTGGCGGAATTCACCACCTGCTGACTAAAGAGCCGTTGGTCGTTGAATAAACATTAGCAGCAGCCAGGCAGTACTCATCACGGACCTAGAACAGTGATGACCATGGAGAAAGACTCTTTTTGAAGAAAGTAGAGGGAGGAGTAAAAAGGACTTTGTCTTGCAACTTGGGTTGCAGCTCAGCTGTAGTAAAATAAGACACCAATCAGATTCCTAAAGTCCCCAGTTCTAGGCCCTAGTTCCTGGACAGTATTTCTAGACCCGCTCTGGGCCAGAATGGAACCTGCTATACAGATGCGAAGGACTCAGTCCTGGCAGGATTCACCATCTGCTGACTAAAGAGCCCTTGGGCCTGAAATAGACATCGTGGTAGCTAGGCAGTTATTGCCAGTGGCCTGGTGATGGCCATGTGAAAAGATTCCTTCTGCTTGAGGAAGGAAGAGGAAAGAATAAAAAGGATTTTGTCTTGCAACTTGGATACCAGCTCAGTCACAGGAAAATGAAGCTCCAAGTAGATTCCTCAAGTTCTTAAATCCAGGCCCTAGTTCCTGGACAACATTTCTAGACCCACCCTAGGCAAGAGGGGAGCTTACTGTACTGAAGAGATGGACCCAGTCCTGGCAGGATTCACCACATGCTGACTAAAGAGTCCTCGGGTCTTGACCAAACATCAGTGGTGGCCAGGCAGTAGTCGTGAAGGACCTGGGACAGTGGTGGCCATGGGGAGAGACTGTTTCTGCCTGAGGAAAGGAAAAGAAAGAGTAAAAAGGACTTTGTCTTGCAACCTGGGTACTACCTCAGCTACAGTAAAATGAAGCACCACATAGATTTCTAATGTTCCTGATTCTAGGCCCTAATTCCTGGATATATCTAGACCCACCCTGGGACAAGAAGGGAGCCTGCTGTACTGAAGGGAAGGAACCAGTCCTGGCTGGATTCACCACCTGCTGATTAAACAGCCCTTGGGCCTTGAACAAACATCAGTTGTAGCCAGGCAGTAGTTGCCCGGGGCCTGGGATGGTGATGGCCACAGGAGATAATCCTTCTCTTTCAGGAAAGGAGAGGAAAGAATTAAAATAACTGCTTTGCAACTGAGGTACCGACTTTGCTACAGTAAAATAAAGTACCAAGTATATTCCTAAAGCTTCCAGATCCAAGCTCTAGCTCCCAGAAAGCAATTCTAGACCCACCCTGGGCCAAAAGGGAGCCTGCTACACTGAAGGAAGGAACTAGCCTCAGCAGGATACACCATCTGCTGAGTAAAGAGCCCATAGGCTTTGAATAAAGATCAGTGGTAGTCAGGCAGAAGTCACCACAGGGGCAATACCCAATACTATGCTAGCTTCAGGTGTTTACCAGCACATTCCCAGCTGTGGTAATCATTGGGAGAGAAGATTCTGCTTGAGCAAAGAAGATGGAAGAATAAAAAGCACTTTGTCTTACGACTAGTATTCCTGCTCAGCCAAAGTAAAAGAAAGCATCAAGTAGATTCCTAAAGTTCCCAAATTCAGGCCCTAGCTCCTGGATAGCATTTCTAGACTCATCCTGGGCCAGTAGGAAACCTGCTTTGTTGAAGGGAGAGATCCAGGCCTGGCAAGACCCATCACCTGCTGAGTAAAGAGCACTTGGGCCTGGAGAAACATCAGTGGTAGCTAGGTAGTAGTCACCACAGGAATTGACCAAGACCCAGTACCATGCTGGCTTCAGGTGTGAACCAGCCCAGTCCCAGCAGTGGTAGTCATGGAAGTGCTTGCATAACCCGTTTCCCATCTCCAGGCAGCTCCAGAGACAGTGACTCATGTGGTTTGAGGGAAAGTAAGGGAAGATAACTAGAGACTGCATGGTAATCAAGAGATTTCTTCAGAATCTTACCTAAGACCCCCAAGGTGACAAGTGTGGAAGAGCCACAGTGTTTCTGGGCTTAGTGTGCCCCCTAATACAGCTGCAGTGACCAAAGACTTGGACTACAACACTCAAGTCCCTTTGAATACTTGGAAAGCCTTCTCAAGAAGGATGAGTACAAACAAGCACAGATTGTGAGGATCAGAATAAGTACCAAACTCTTCAATGCCCAGACATTGATGAACATTCACAAGCATTAAGATCATCCAGCAAAACATGACCTCATCAAAACAAATTAAATAAAGCATCAATGACCAATCCAAGAATTACAGAGATATGTAATTTCAGACAGAGAATTCAAAATAGCTGTTTTGAGGAAGCTCATTGAAATTCAAGATAACACAGAGACGGAATTCAGAATCCCATCAGATAAAACTAACGAAAAGATTGAAATAATTTTTAAAAACCAAGCAGAAATTCTGGAGCTGGAAAATTATCTGACCACACTGGGATAAATCTAGAAATCAATAACAAGAGAAATTTTGGAAACTATACAAACTCATGAAATTACACAATATTCTCCTGAATGACCAGTGAATCAATAAAAAAAATTAAGAAGGAAATTTAAAAATTTCTTGAAACAAGTGAAAATGGAAAAACAACATACAAAAACCTATGAGATACAATAAAAGCCATACTAAGAGGGAAATTTATAGTGATAAGTGCCTACATGAAGAGTAGAAAAACTTCAAATAAACAATCTAACAATGCATTTTAAAGAACTAGAAAAGCAAGAGCAAACCAAACCCCAAATTAGTAGAAGAAAAGAAATAATAAGTAACAGAGTATAAATAAGTAACATTTAAATAAAAAATGCAAAAGGATCAACAAAATAAAAAGTTGGTTTTTCGACAAAACAATTAACAAACCTTTAGCCAAACTATGTATGAAAAAAAGACACAAATAAATAAAATCAGAGATGACACATTACAATTGATACTGCAGAAATTCAAAGATTATTAAAGACTACTATAAGTGACTCATATGCCAATAAATTGGAAAACTGAGAAGAAATGGATAAATTCCTAGACATGTAAAAGCTACAAGATTGAATCATGAAGAAATTAAAAACCTGAATAGACCAATAACAAGTAACAAGATCAAAGCTGTAATTGTCTCCCAGCAAAGAAAAGCCTGAGATCCAATGACTTCACTGCTGAAATCGACCAAACACTTAAAGAACTGGCACAAATCCTGTCCACCTATTCTGAAAAATAGAGGAAGTGGGAATACTTTCAAACTCGTTCTATGTGGTCAGTATTGCCCTGATACCAAACGCAGACAAAAACACATCAAAAAAGAAAACAATGAGCCTATATTTCTGATGAACATTGATGCAAAAATCCTCAAAAATACTTGCAAACCAAATTCATCAGTACCTTAGAAAGAGTATTTATCATGACCAAGCAGAGTTTATGTCAGGGGTACAAGGTTGGCTCAACATACACAAATCAATCAATGTGATACATCATATCAACAGAATGAAGGACAAAAACCTTATGATCATTTCAATTGATGTTGAAAAAGCATTTGATAAAATTCAAAATCCCTTTCATGATTTAAAAAACCCTCAAAAACTGGGGATAGAAAGAGCATACCTGAACACAATAAAAGCCAAATATGACAGACCTGCAGTTAGCATTATACTGAACAGCAAAAAACTAAAGTCTTTCCTCTAAGATCTAGAACATGGTAAGGATGCCAACTTTTACCACTGCTATTCAACATCGTACTGGAAATCCTAGCTAGAGGAATCAGTCAAGAGAAATAAATAAAGGGCATCCAAATTAGAAAGAAAAAGTCAAATTACTCTTGTTTTCAGATGGTATGCTCTTATATTTGGAGAATCCTAAAGATACCACCAAAAAACTATTAGAACTAACAAACAAATTCAGTAAAGTCGCAGGACACAAAATCAACGTATAAAAATCAGTAGCATTTCTACATGTCAACAGTGAACAATCTGAAAAAGAAATCAAGAAAGTACTTTTATATATTATTGTTACAAATAAAATAAAATGCTTAGGAATAAACTTATCCAAAGAAGTGAAAGATCTCTACATAGAAAACTATAAAACATTGATGCAAGAAATTTAAGAGAACCAATGAAGAAAGGAAAAGAGGAGCTGTATTAGTCTGTTCTCGCACTGCTATAAAGACATACCTGAGCCTGAGTAATTTATAAAGAAAAGAGATTTAATTAGCTCATGGTTCTGCCAGCTGTGCAGGCTTCCGCTTCTGGGGAGGCCTCAGGAAACTTACAATCATGGCAGAAGATGAAGGGGAAGCTGGCACATCCACCATGACTGGAGCAGGAGAAAGAGAGAGAGGCGGGCAGGTGCTACACACTTTTAAACAAGCAGATCTCAGGAGAACTCTATCACCAGACAGCACTAGGGGGATGGTTCTAAACCATTAGAAACTGCCGGCATGATCCAATCACCTCCAACCAGGCCCCTCTTCCAACACTGGGGATTAAAATTTGACATGAGATGTGGGCAGGGACAGAAATCAAAACTGTATCAGAAGGCTAAATGGCAAATACTTACTCTTATTTATGCTTTGTGCAAATAACCAGGCCATGTATATTAAGACTGAAGCTTATTTCACAAACAAATCAGTCCTATCATGATTTGTTTTTAATAAAAATGAGGATTGGAGAGAGAAAAAATACATTTCAAGAACTATAGTACACCTGTATTTAGATTCCAGTCTCATCAGTTGAGTTTTTGTCTGCAATTTAGACTAACCCTTCTTATTCCTGTGAAATAATCAGTGATCTCTGGCTGCATCTCAGAAGAAAAGATGGATGGGTAGTGTAAAACTCTGGATCAATATTCTAATTCTGGGCATGTATTAAAATCAGCTAGCAACTCCATACACCCAAGTCTTAGCAGGCATGACTATACCCACCAGCCACCTAGGTGTGTTGGTCGCCCTAGGATTTTTTTTGGAGCGGTCATCTTCCTCTTTTTTTTTTTTTTTAAACTGTTCTTCTAAATCTGATAACTTGATTTGTCCCCTTTTACGTTCAGGCCATCAAGCTCCAGATGATCCTCAGTGAAGGATACTGACCTCTCAAATAGTCAAGAGTCACCCTTCTGCAGCGGGCCTCTAGACTGCCCGTCAATAGAACATAACAGAGGCAAAATCCTGCCCCTTTCTCCCTTAAGCCTGGCTGGATACTGGTTTCTACAACCCACAGAGCCAACCCTGCCCTGACAGCTAGTAAGAGGCCAAGACCCACAGAACCACCACCACTGCCCTTCTGTCAGTAGGAAGCAGTTACAGAAGACTGACCTTCATCCATTTTCCCCAAAGAATTGGAGTCTTGGACTCCAGAGGGGGAAATGTTACAGTAGGCAGCTAGTTAAACATGAGCAGGGTAGGAGAGGGCTCCCAACCCCCACCAGGAATGTCAGGCGACATCAGGTGATCTCTCAAGTCACCCACTCTGCCCTCTTCCAAGTGTACTTTACTTCCTTTCATTCCTGCTCTAAAGTTTTTAAGTAAACTTTCACTCCTGCTCTAAAACTTACCTCAGTATCTCCTTCTGCCTTATGCCCCCTCTGTCCAATTAGTTCTTCGGAGAAGGGAAGAATTGAGGTGGCTGCAGACCGTATGGATTCACTGCTGGTAACATGCTGACTGGAGTCGCACGTTTAATTTTCCTCAAGAACTTTTCTTTTGTATTTACAATTGGGCTAATTGTCTGGTGCAAGAGACTTAGTTTTCAGCCTCTGCCAGCTTTTGACATGCCTTCCTCACTAAGCAGAATCATTTCTAGCTTTTGATTTCAAGTGAGAGACGTGACTCTTCGTTTCACTTGAACATTTAGAGGCTATTGTAGGATTCATAATTGGCCCAATTTCTCTCAGGGAATAGGGAGACCTGAGGAGAGGAAGAGAGATGTGGGGAATGGCTGGTAGGTGGAGTAGTCAGAACACACATACCGTCTATGTATTAAATTTGGTGTCTCATATGGGTGTAAATCTTCGTGTCCCCAAACAATTACAGTAGTAAAATCAAATATCACTTGTCACAGATCACCATAAAAGAAATAACAGTAATGTAAATGTTTGAAATATTG